AATGGCAGCGTCTCGGGAGCCTACAGAGTCTTCAGTGGAGGGTGCTGCACTTGTGGATTTCAGTGCTGTTGCCACTCAGGACGTGCAGCCGGGTGTCGCTTCTGGTGTTGTCAGACTTAATGGAGTGAGGATTCGGGGAAGTCGCCTTCTTCCCTTCTTCTTCCCTTCTTCTTCCCTTCTTCTTCCCTTCTTCCCTTCTTCTTCCCTTTTTCTTCCCTTCTTCTTCCCTTCTTCCCTTCTTCCCTTCTTCTGACCCTGCACGCCTCCTGTTGGAGCTGAGGCTCCAAGTTGCTGTGTCCGGGACCTTTGTTTCTGAACCGTTGTTACTGTGGACCAGGAGCAGAAGCTGGCTAAGCCCGTTCCCAGTAGAGAGTGATGCTAACATCGAGTGACCCTGGGCATGGGGTCCTGCTTAGGCCCCGGACTGTCACGGCAGGCTTCCTAGAGAGGTTGTTCAGGCCATTGGATGGTTTCCCACCTCAGTACAGAGGGACGTGGGCCTGGTGGCCTTGGGAGGCCAGAGGCTGTGGGAAGATCCGTGAATTTCATTGGTGCTGAGGCCCGGAGAGTGGGGCTCTAGGCTCTGGACCCCCGTCTGGGGCTGCCCTCCACTGAGCTCCAGCACACAGGGCTCAGGTGACACAGGAGAGTGAGCTGTCAAGGACACAGTTGAATGCATGCTCTCTGTTTCAGCTAAGGTGAGGTGATGGGCCTGGTGAGCAGGTAGTGACGGTGCTGGCCGTTTGCACAATATTGGCACTGAAGGCAGAGGCTTATGGGGTGAGAAGGTAGCAGTGGTGCTAGTGCTTTGCACAGTGTTGGCACTAAAGGCAGAGACCTATGGGAAGAGCAGGTAGTGACATTACTGAGGCTTTGCACAGCTTCTTCACTCGAGGTACAGGCCTATGGGGTGAGCAGGTGTCCATGGTGCTGCTGCTTTGCACGGTGTTGGCGCCAAAGGCAGAGGTCTGCGGAGGAGGGCAGGTGCTGGAGGACTGGCCGTCTCACTGTTTGAGGAGTGCTATGGGCGCCACATTTTGAGGACCTCTACATAGAGCCCAAAGCCTGTCCTTTCCTTAAGGAGTCCTTCCTTGTTCAACTGGTGACATCTGCAGAAACCATCTCCAAAGCTTCTGATCCACGGGCACTTTGCCATTGGCCCTGGCATTGGTGGCTGCTTAGAATAGCAGGCCCTGTCCTATTCCTGCCAGGGCAGTGGTGGACGGGGCCGCCTGAGCGCACCTGGAGGCGGAATGCATGGGGCACTGTTAGTGCATTGCATGTTAGTCCGTTCTTGTGTTTCTGTAAAGGAATACCTGAGACTGGGCAATGTATAAAGAAAAGAGGTTTATTTTGGCCCACGGTTCTGCAGACTGTATAGGGAGCATGGTGCCGGCGTCTGCTTCCTGTGAAGCCTTAGAAAGCTTAGGATCATGGTGGAAGGTCAAGGGGAGCCCATGTGTCCCATGGCAAGAGTGGGAGCAAGAGAGAGAAGGGAAGGCGCCACACACTCTGAAACCACCAGATCTCGCGTGAACTCAGAATGAGAACTCACTCATTATTGTAATGGCAGCACCAAGCCATTCTTGAGGGACCCGCGCCCGTGACCCAGACACGACCTATCAGGCCCCACCTCCAACATAGGGAATCGGTCTCAACATGAGGTTTGGAGGCGGCGGATGTCCAAGCCATATCACGCCGGTGCAGGACGTTCCAGAGCAACCCCTCTCTCTCTGCTTTCAGGATTGACTTCCTTGTATGACTTAGGCTCAGTCAGCTCTTAAAGGACACTGTGGCTTGCAGTTTGATTTGCATCATTTTTAGTCTGCATTTTCATCATGGGCACATTGAATTATTTCATAAGTTTAGACTTTCTTTTAAATGCTTGAAGCATTTAAGTTTTATTTGATAAGTGTTTTTTTTGTGTGTGTGTCCTCGTCTCTGGCACAAGTCTTTAATGTTTCATTTTTGTGTGTGTGGTTTTTCTTTTTGTGGTTCTTAGATAATTTTCTGTGTGCTGGACCTAATCTGAGGCTAGTTTTTCATGAGGGATTTGTTGGCTACTGATAGGATCCAGTATTTGCATATATAATTTGCATAAGCCTTTGCATATTAAAATGGATTGCCATTTTAGGTCTGTATTTTACTGGAATTTTAAAAAGCTGGGGATATTTGTCTCTGGATTAAAGGTTAGAAAGTAAGACTCCAGTTACTGAGATTTTACCTGATTCTATGTGCGTGGTTCACATAGCGATATCCATTTACAGGAGGCCTTGTTTCCTGCTTTCTTTACAAAGGAAGCCATTGATTTGAAAGAAGTATTTTCACAGATTAGTAAGACATTTGGGCGAACTGTTAGCTGCCAAATATGTTCCTGTATAGATGTGCCAAATCTGAGTGTTACTCATGTTCTTTCTCTTAACTCCAGAATAGTTACTTTCAGCACTATGAATAAACTCTCTTCTACATTTAATACAATTACTGTTTTATTTAATAACCTACTTGGTTACTGAAATGTATCACTTAAAATGATAATTCTGCGGTGCCGTTTGTTGAGCTGGCCATCCTGTAGAAAACTTACATACGTGCCCGAATCTCGTATCTGAAGCCCGATGAGAGTGGCAGCTGCCTTCAATGTCGTGAAGTTAGGTTGTTGGCACATAGGATAATCCCGTGATTGATTCCAGTGTAGACGCTATTGGGATAGTTTGTTCATTGGACTGGACAATTAGAACATTTTTGATACTGAAATGACGGTCAGGTTTCCAATCTGGCTAGTTAAATCCTGTTTCCTTTGATTTAAAATTAATCTGTGTTGTCACTGGTTTTTCAAAATTGATTGCTACATGACTCATGAGAATATGATTTTTATAGATTATTTTGGTATCAGACTAGGATGTGATAGGAGTGGAATGGATTGACATTTTTCATTTTTAAGAAATATTGCTGGGTTCTACTTTTTCAAAAACGATGGAAGATGGTAGGTCCAGGACCATGAGGCTGAAATCAAGGTCTCAACCTTCGGAAGCATCATGGACGAGTAGGGAAGCGTCAGTAAGAGCCTTGAAATGCAGTTAAAGGTGCCCCCAGAAGGTGACTCAGGAAGTTCCTGAAGTTCAGGTATGAAAAAAGCAGTTGGAAGGTACTGGCTCGGGAATTTTCAGAAGCTCTGAACAGAAGGTTCTGGACAGGTTGTGCGTCACACCAGCAAGACAGAGTCTCTGCGGTTTCTATGGCGATAGCCTGCACTCCACTTAGAAACAAATTCTTGATGTTGTTTTGAAACCTCAGGAACAAAAGGGCACCGTGTTTGCTTTTGCAGAAGAGCCCGGTAGCCGTGCGGCATTTGGCAGACGTCGGATTCCTTGATACCTTTTCTTTCCGTCGCCACTGCTCGGCGCATCGTTTTCCGTTCTGGGTCAGAATTTCCTGGTTTTTCTTTCTCGAGTGGAAGATCTTTTTCTTTGAGTTGAAAGATCTCTTGATTTGGGGGATGCTGCTGCTGGTGGTTGTGGAAGTCTCCCGGGCAGTGTGCAGCTTTCCCTGGTCACAGGGTGTCCAGGGTCACCCACACCCTCCTTTGTGCACTGCTGGCCTTGGTCATCGTCTACCTTCACTGTGGGCACCTCTGTTCCTCTCCCTACTAAAATGGGCAGAGTCAGGAGCCCGGGGGCATCTTAGCACCAAACACCTTGGTGAGCCCAGAGGCTGGGGAGCGTGGATCGCTGGATCTGGAGGCCCTGGCTCTAGGTCCAATCTCAGAGGATGCCTGAGCTTATTGTCTTTTATCTGTCCCAAGGCCATGGACAAAATCCCAGACCAGGAGCAGTCTCTATGTGCCTGCATGTGCCATTGTTGCTCCCCACACACCTGTCTCCTCCTGGGACCCTCAGGCCCTTGGCTCTGGGTGCCATCTGCATCTGTCACTTCTCAGCTCTTTGTGATGCCCTGTGCTCGGGGAGGGGCTTCCAAACAAGACCTGAGACCCCAGATCCATCTTCTTGCCTCAGGACTCCTCATCCCCTACCAGGTGCTGCTGGTCCTATCCCTGGGGGAGTGAGGGTGAGGCAAGGCCCGACTTCCCCGGGGTCAGCCTGCTCCGTGTGCTGACCTCCCTGCCCTGCTTGCTCACCTTCCTCCTGAGCGGCCTCCTGGCCTCTGCGTGGGCTTCAGGGCTAGCTCTGGCAGGAGGAGCTCCCATTTCCTGGGCTAGACCCATGCTAGGCTCCTGGTTTTAGAGTTCTGCTCGTCCTTTAGAACATCCACACATCTTTTGTGAACACCTGCGCATGGTGAAGAATCCAGAAGGTGAGGAAGTGCTTGGAAAGGAGCGGTCCTCCTCTGTTGACCGTCCTGACTGGCCTCCCCTCTAACAGAGAGTTTACTTCTGACCCTCCTTGGTCTTTAAAATGTGTTTTCTGGTGTAAGTGTATGTGTAGATTTTTTTCTTGTTTTGGTATGTAGTAAGAGCATTTGATGTGTCCTGCTCCTCAGCCTGCTTCCCCACGTGGCAGCATGTCTTGGGAATCTCCCCGTGTGGGCGGAGGACTGTCCTCTCTTGGACTGCTTGAGAGTGCTGGGTGATCTTGTTCCGTTTGCCTATTGATCATTGTTCAAGTCCTTTCCAAATTTCATTACAGACAGTGCTGCCGTAAACATACTGGTGACAGGCCATTGACAACACTTAGGAGTGTTTCATGATGGATTTCTTTCTTTCTTTTCTTTTTTTGAGACAGAGTGTCGCTCTGTCACCCAGGGTGGAGTACAGTGGTGCGATCTCGGCTCACTGCAACCTCTGTCTCTCAGATTCAAGTGATTCTCCTGCCTCTCGGCTCACTGCAACCTCTGTCTCTCAGATTCAAGCGATTCTCCTGCCTCAGCCTCCTGAGTAGCTGAGACTACAGGTGCATGCCACCATGCCCGGCTAATTTTTTTTTTTTGTATTTTTAGTAGAGACAGGGTTTCACTGTGTTGGCCAGGCTGGTCTCAAACCCCTGACCTCAGGTGATCCACCCACCTTGGCCTCCCAAAGTGCTGGGATTGCAGGCATGAGCCACTGCGCCTGGACCATGATGGATTTCTTTAAGTGAAATTGGTAGTTTCAGGAGTTTGCGCATTTTATATTTTGATAGATGCTGCCTGTTTGGGTGTAATAATCCTCATGTCCACCAAAAGCTTATGAGTTGTGTGTGTATGTTTCTCCACACCCTCAATAGTTCTTAGTATTATAAATTTTCTAAAATTGCCTGTCTGAAAGAAAAAAAATGGTATATTTTTATTGCTTTAATTTCCATTTTCTTTTTTTCTTTTTTTGTGAGCATAAGCATGTTTTCATGTTTACTGGCCTTTGTATTTCTTGCCTGATGTATATTGTCCATGCATTTTGCACATTTAAAAAATGTGTTGTCTTTTTCTTGTTAATTTATAGAAACTCTTTATATATTGTGGATTTGATTCTCATGTTTTGAATACGTTCTGTTGGTTTATCATTTGTCTTTTACTTTCTGAAGTCTTTTATTGTAGAAGTTCTAAAACATCAGAATTGTCTTTAGGGTTTTTGGATTTTACATATACTTTAGACGTTCTCTACCCTACCATTAAACTATCCTCATTGTTTTAATCAATCTAGTTTGCTTCATTACATTTGCTTTATTCCACATTGTGTTAACCCGTGTAAAACCTCGTATATATTCTGTGAGGTACTTTAAACATTTTCCCACATTGATCTGGTTTTTCCAACCTAATATATTCAACAATCAGTTGAGTGAATGTTTTCTGGTAGGTTATGTTATGTTTTTCCACTGATTTAATGTAGTAACCTTGTCATAGACTCAATGTCTGTGTGCTTTATCTGTATTTCATATAAACCTCCAGCATAGCCTCATGAGGTGAAGGTGCCACTTGTCTCAAAACACAGATAGGAAATCTGAAGTTTAGAGGGTTAAGTAAACTTTCTCAAGATGGTTCCAGTCATAAGTGTTGAAACCAATAATATATAATAATATATTATGACATGCCACCAGGGTGTGAAGGGAAGAAGGGCAGGAAGATGGAGAAATGAAGGCTAGGAACTTGCCCTGTTTTCCTGGCATTGTGCCTGTTCTCTCTTGTCTCCACCCCGATCCTCACCTTTGCAGTCCCTACTCAGGGCCCAGATAGCAGGACCCTTGGGCTGGGACTTACAGGTGGGATGTCTCTGTAGCCTGTCCAGACAGAAAGGAAAGGACCGTGCCTCGGTTCCAGGATCCTTGCTTGCCTGGAAGGAGACGCTAGGGGTCAGTGTTGTCCATCCAGAGGCCCTGTCCAGTACTGACGGGCCGCTGAGGCTCTGAGGGTTGGGTTTTTGGGAGATGATGTCGGCGCCCCCTAGCTTTTTCTCCATTTCCTGTGCATAATTTCCACTCCTCCCAGTGAACTAATGATGCTGCACATAGATGAGAAATAATGTTCCTCTTTATCCATGTGTATGTGTTGACATCAGCCTTTACACTTTTTTTTTTTTTTTGGACTCTTGAGGCTTCCTTTAAGTAATTCTTTCAAATAATGTGTTTGTTTTAGAAGTTAGGGATGCCAAATTTAGTACATAAAAATACATTACTCCTGGTTAACTTTGGATTTTAGATAAACAATAAATACTTTTTAAAAAAGGTTTACATATGTCCCATGCAATATTTGGGATATACTTACACTAAAGATTTATTTGTTATTTATCTGAAAATCTGTATTTTAGATAACCGGACATGCTGTATTTGAGCTGGTGAGTGTCTTTTCTGGTAGGTTATGTTGTTTTAATGCATGGTGGAAATGTCTGTTCTTGTTGCTGATTAAAGCCTGTTGAGCACAACTCCTTTTGTTTATTACTAGATGGTAGATGTTGGCTACCTCACATCAGCAAAGGCTAGAAGAATAATTCGCTGAGGGAGAGGAGGGGAGATCCTTCAGTGGAGTTTGCTTTCTTTCTGCAGTTTACATTTGTTAATACTTTAAACACGTGGATTAGCTCTATTGAGGGTCAGAACAATGCTTGTGGAAATAGAGATTTAAAAGAAAACAAATAACCTTTCTGTTTCATTTGAATTCAAAAAGTGACTGCTGGCATTTTCTATGGTTCTCTAAAAGTTTCTTGAATTAGGATGAAGGAATGTACTCAAGTTTGCTATGCAACGTGAAGGCAGTTTTATGTTAATTTGATGTCTGAAATTCCCTGTGCCCAGCGCCGGGGGGGGGGGTTTGCCTGCTTGGCGTGAATGTCAGCTGTCAGACCTGGAAGCTTGATTGGGCTCGGGTATTTTTGCAGGTGAATTTCTGTGTTGAGGCTTTGCTGATGTCTCTTTCCTGGATGTCGACCCATCGTGAGTTGTCAGTGACTTGAGTGCCGCGTGGGTGGGTCTAATCACATTTCATTTGCTTTGTGGGACCCTGGAAAATGCAGGACAAGCTCTGGTAAGAGTTCAGGTGTTGACAAAAGACGCAGCTCCGACCAAGAGGCGTCAGGTCATCTGCATGAGCATACCTCCTGAATTCAAAATCAGAACAGCCCCAAGAATTCCTTCGGTCCTCCTGAGATGTGGGCTTCCCAGATGTGGAGAAATGTTTAGCTGTCTCAGCGGCATGTGGTCTGTGGCCTGTGATTTTCACAAGAGATGGGGAATCAGTGGTCAGGATCGCACACAGCGTGTGAGGATATCAGCCCTCATTGTGACGTGGTTCCTTTGGTGGACACATTTCCTCTGGCTCTAAATTGATTTTGTCTATGCATGAGCTAGCCTTATTTAGTTTTGATTTAAAAATGCTAAGTTAATATGTGTGAAAAAATTAGTGGCCAGTCGCCATTCTCTTGGGAATTCTGTGTCCTGTGCTTGAACTGTTGAAGAATTACTGGTGGATTAGTTGTAGATTCCACGGGGCAAATGAAAAAGGCATAAAACAGTGGGTTCTTCCCATGCCTCCATGTGCAAAGAGATCTCACCCTTTTTTTTTTTTTTTGAGAGATGGATGTATAATTGATGAAGGTTCTGGAACCTGGTGTGACTCCAAGATAAAGCCCTTCCGAGTAGAGGAGGTTGTGACTTCACCTGCCTGTTTTTCAGGGGGAGCCTTTTCACCTGTGTGTGTGTGTTTCACGGGGAAGCCTTTTCGCCTGTAGTGTGTGTGTTTTGGGGGAGCCTTTTCACCCATGTGTGTTTCGGGGGAAGCCTTTTCACCTGCATGTGTTTTGGGGGGAGCCTTTTCACCTGCGTGTGTTTTGTGGGGAGTGTTTTTACCTGTGCGTGTGTTTTTGTGGGGGAAGCCTTTTCATCTGCGTGTGTTTCGGGGGGAATCTTTTCATCTACGTGTGTTTCGGGGGGAGCCCTTTCATCTGCGTGTTTCAGGGGGGAACCTTTTCACCTGCATGTGTGTGTTTCGGGGGGAGCCTTGTCACCTGTGTGTGTTTCACGGGGGAACCTTTTCACCTGCATGTGTGTGTTTCCGGGGGAGCCTTTTCACCTGTGTGTGTTTCACGGGGGAACTTTTTCACTTGCATGTGTGTGTGTTTCGTGAGGTAGGGGGAGCCTTTTCATCTGTGTGTGTTTCAGAGGGGAGCCTGTTCACCTGCATGTGTGTGTTTCGCGGGGAAACTTTTCACCTGCATGTGTGTTTCGGGGGGAGCCTTTTTACCTGTGTGTTTCGGGGGGAGACTTTTCACCTACATGTGTTTTGGGGGGAGCCTTTTCACCTGCGTGTGTTTTGTGGGGAGCATTTTCACCTGTGTTTTGTGGGGAGCATTTTCACCTGCGTGTGTTTTGTGGGGAGCATTTTCACCTGCGTGTGTGTTTCGGGGGGAGCCTTTTCACCTGTGTGTGTTTCGGGGGGAACCTTTTCATCTGCATTTGTGTTTCAGGGGGGAGCCTTTTCACCTGTGTGTGTTTGACGGGGGAACTTTTTCACCTGCATGTGTGTGTTTTGTGACTGGTTGGGGGGAGCCTTTTCACCTGTGTGTGTGTGTTTCAGGGGGAACCTTTTCACTTGCATGCGTGTGTTTTGGGGGGAATCTTTTCACTTGCATGCATGTGTTTCATGGGGGAACCTTTTCACCTGCATGTGTGTGTTTCAGGGGGGAGCCTTTTCACCTGCGTGTGTGTGTTTCGGGGGAACCTTTTCACTTGCATGCGTGTGTTTTGGGGGGAACCTTTTCACCTGTGTGGGTGTGTTTCAGGGGGAACCTTTTCACCTGCATGTGTGTGTTTCAGGGGGGAGCCTTTTCACCTGCATGTGTGTTTCAGGGGGAACCTTTTCACTTGCATGCGTGTGTTTCGGGGGGAACCTTTTCACCTGCATGTGTGTGTTTCAGGGGGAGCCTTTTCACCTGCATGTGTGTGTTTCAGGGGGGAGCCTTTTCACCTGTGTGTGTGTGTGTTTCAGGGGGAACCTTTTCACTTGCATGCGTGTGTTTCGGGGGGAACCTTTTCACCTGCATGTGTGTGTTTCAGGGGGAACCTTTTCGAGCCTTTTCACCTGTGTGTGTGTGTGTTTCAGGGGGAACCTTTTCACTTGCATGCGTGTGTTTCGGGGGGAACCTTTTCACCTGCATGTGTGTGTTTCAGGGGGAACCTTTTCACTTGCATGCGTGTGTTTCGGGGGGGAACTTTTTCACCTGCGTGTGTTTCAGGGGTGAGCCTTATCTCCTGCCAGCATATGTCTTGTCATGTCTTGTTGCTTAAAAGGTGTTTGAGGCAAGATACTGTCAGTTCACATTAAGGACGTATTAACGAGAACACACAAGAAGGGCTTTGTGTTGTTTCTCTCCTCAGAGGAATTTCACGAACCCTAGCATTTGATCCATGCAGCTTTTCCTTTCCTAGCTTGTAAAACCTTGTGGCTGTTTTTCTTTTGGGAATGTGTTCGCATCCCTTCCCTTGTAAAGAATGTGTGTGAATTCTGTTGTGGACAACCATTTTAATGGGTCTCTGTTAGATTGTGCGGCCAGCTGCAGAGTGCTTGAATCCTGGGGTCTCCGAGTGTTCCAGGTGAGAGTCCTGCGGTGTGCACAGCCCAGGGTCTCCATGCAAACTCCAGGTGGCCAGACGCATCCAGATTTAGTTACAGAGCTCAGTGTGATACTGAGAGTACGTCTTGTCTTCCTTTATCAGGTAAAAATGAACCGGTGACAAAAATAAATTATCTTTGCTTTTCTTGAGGATTTGTATGGCGGAGAATTCATTTAGTTGTTTTTTCTTATCTATTCCAGTTTGTCATAGTTCACGATTGGAGATTTCTTTCTAAGCTGTTCTGCCCCCAGTATACGCAGTTTCTGCTTGTCCTGTCCTCCGGATAAATGGAATTCATATCTTCTCCTCCCATGCCTCCCCAGTGCCCCATGTCTGCCCCCCATCATCCTGTCCTTGCCTTTTGCCTTTTGGCTGGAGCCCTCCATTTATTTGCTCTGTACTAGGGTATGTCTACTTCACAACCCATTTCTATGTAAGTGGTGGTTTCTGGGTATCTTTTAATTCTCTCCCCCTACATAAATACAGAGTCCCACTTCTCTTATAGCCTTCGAACTGCCTCATAATGAGTCGATTTAATTCTGAGGTTGTGCTTGTTGTTTTTACTGTCGATTGGTCTGCATTTCTGAATCCTACATTTAGCTTCTGGAAAGTTAGGGCCGTCACGTGATTGCAGGTGCAACACTGCTGCATAGCCTGAGTGTATGAATACCCGGTCATCGGCCGTGACGCCCCTGGAGACCGTGGTCTGCTCCTCACTGCCGCAGTGCAGGGAGTACCAAGGGACCGGTCCGCTCTCCGCAGGCTCCTCTGCATGGCTGTGGCAGGAGCTGTCTCCCGGTTTCCTGGGTCAGGGCCCTCTCCAGGAACTGTTTGCTGTGTCTAACTCCACGTCTCTAGCTGATGGTAGTGTCTTCCTGAATTCTAGGCAACTCTACCAAATTCCAATTGGGTGATATTAGCGTAGATACCCTGGCTGAATTTTTCTGGGATTTACCTTAACTTGCTCATGTAGCCATGGAGTTGTTTAAAATAACAGTGATACTCATGGTAGTCTGGTGCATTATTTAATTTCTAAGATTAAAAAGCAAAAACAAAACAAAACAAAAAAACCACTTGCCTTAAAATGGCCAATGTCATACAGTTTGATCCATGTGTGAGGCAGAGAAATTCGTGATGACTTGGGTGCCAGCCCCGGCCCACCGTGTGATTGAGATCTGCGGAAACTTTTTCAGAAACTTGTCTCTTCTTTGAAAATACTTATGCTGTGGCCCTTTGTGTACTTTCTTACTATAGGTAAAATCAAAGAAATGTGAGATGTTGGCAAAACATAGGTGATACTTAGTGTGAAGTAGTGTCCTCTGTAATAATGGAACATTTGACGAGGTTTATTTTGGGATGATGTTCACCCCTAGGACCTGCTCCCTGTGGCTTGGATGTTTCGAAAAGACTCTAGGAACTTAGTGTGGAATTCTTTTGCCCCATTTCCCCTTCAAGCGAACCCTTGAGTTGTCTAGCAGGTTCTATGGAGAGCAGAGGGAGGGACCCAGTGGTAGCTTTGCAAACACAGAAGTCATGGGGGCTCAGCCCGGGCTCTGCTTTCCAGCTCTGAGACAGGGTCTGGCCTCACGGACTGGACCAGGGTACCAGCTGGGACGTGGGACTTGTTCCTTAAAGCACGAAGCCCTGGAGCAGCTGCCAGCGCAGCGTCTCCGTCACCTAAGGCGTAGCCTGCCATGCCTCCGGCAGCCAGGACAGCAGCCTCAGAGCCTCAGCTGCCCTGCTCCTCTTGGGAGGTTTATGACTTCCGAACTTGACTTCAAACCCTGTCTCTAGAGCCCTTTTCCAGTATGCACCAGCCTAAATGCAGGATGGACTTCCTAAGGGTAATTCATCTTGCTTTGTAAACGTGTATCCGTAGTTGACCCTGGACATGCATATTGTGCACAGGAGAGGTGTTTGGGATGTATGTTGATCGTGAGCAGGAGGCGCAGCGCACACTGCATTCTAGGGCAGGAGCTGTTAGAAATTGTCCACGTCCAGGTGCTCAAGTCAGAATCAGAATCATCCTGGGAAGTCTCCTTGCTTGTTCTCTTCCATTTCTCTTCTTTTGGGCACCACCAAAATTCATGATTTAGAAAGCAAATCCACTTTTTGGTCTATTGGTGTTTTCAAAAGACAGCACTAAGGAAATTCAATCACACTTACTGATATTGTGGATGAAGTACCCGTTTGTGGACTGATCTGGGAATTTCATTACTGATCATAAACTTTTCTGATGAAAGTGCATTTTTAGTTTTGAACAACCAGTTTATAATTACTTTTTTTTTGGTTTGTAGAATATGACACATTCAGGAGGTGTAACCCCTCCCCAGCCCAGCATGGCAAGGTATAATAGAGGCTTGGGAAGCATAAACTTTTACGGCCACAGGAATTGCTTTTACCTGCACGTTTTTTTGATCATTTCTCCTACTTAGAATACTTTTTTTTTTTTTTGTATGTGGAAAATGGGGAGTGGCACATGTTATTTCATGGAAAACAGTGGATACTTAAAAAAATATTCTGGCTGGGCGTGGTGGCAAACAGTCTCGCTCTGTTGCCCAGGCTGGAGTGCAGTGGCGCAATCTCAGCTCACTGCAAGCTCCGCCTCCCAGGTTCATGCCATTCTCCTGCCTCAGCCTCCCGAGTAGCTGGGACTACAGGCGCCCGCCACGTCACCTGGCTAGTTTTTTGTATTTTTTAGTAGAGACGGGGTTTCACCGTGTTAGCCAGGATGGTCTCGATCTCCTGACCTCGTGATCCACCCGTCTTGGCCTCCCAAAGTGCTGGGATTACAGGCTTGAGCCACCACGCCTGGCCAGAATATTTTTTTTAAGTATCCAGTGTTTTCCATGAAATAACATGTGCCACTCCCCATTTTCCATATACAAATAGTCCTGAGAATAGTGTATATATACGTAATATGAGCAGTGTGGTTGAGTTTGCTCCTTATGATCTGGTACTTTACTGATAGCAGCAGTTTGACAAATGACCTTTCTGGAATTCGGTGTATGGTAAGATGACCTTTATAGAAATGAGCAAAAAATAGAGACAGCAATGAGGGTTGGGGGTAGAGAGCAGATTTTGGGCCAGAGGGTGAGAAGGACGTTGGAGGAGTTCGGATAGTCAAGTAAACGTCAACAGATTTGGAGAATTAGCATCTGCAGTGCTGCACCTTTTACACCATCTCCAGCAGGCTTACTTAGATCTTAAGCTTAGTGCAGATGTAAGAGCAGTGAAAACTGACTACCAAGAATGAAAAGCTACAGAAATGGCAGATATTAAATGCCTACTAAACAAAAGCACCTCAGCACCTGGGGCTATTGTGGGAGCCATGGGATCCGCGGGTACCTGGAGTCACTCCCTCATGATCACCTGTGCGAGGTCAGTAGAAAGACTGGGGCTGCCTCTCGCTCCACGTGCATGGTCTTCACACACAGTGGGGACTCCTGGCTTCCGGGCTAGGAACGAATATGAAAGGAGCAGTGTTTCTGAGACAAGTAATATTTTTATTGTATATGTTCTCATGAACTTGTATTAGTCTCTTCTCATGCTGCTAGTAAAGACATACCTGAGATTGGGTAATTTATAAAGCAAAGAGGTTTAATGGACTCGCATTTCCACATGGCTGGGGGGGCCTCACAATTGTGGCAGAAGGTGATGGAGAAGCAAAGGCATGTCTTACATGGCAGCAAGCAAGGGGGCTTGTGTGGGGGAACTGCCCTGTATCAAACGATCAGATCTCGTGAGCTTTATTCACTGTCACGAGAACAGCATGGGAAAGACCCACCCCCATGATTCAGTTACCCCCCATTGGGTCCCTCCCAGTACATATTGGAATTATGGAGCTTCAATTCAAGATGAGATTTGAGTGGGGACGCAACCAGAGCATATCAAACTGTTGCAAAATGCACGTATTTTATTTATGTATTGTTACATTACGTACAATTTAATCGTCGTAGAAAATGCAGATGAGGGAAAAGACAAAGAAGGTGTCACTGCTCACAGGTAATGACTTGATATTTTGGACTGGCTGCACCTGTCTACGAATATCCTTTGTGTATACACATTTGATACACATGTCCCTTTAGTACGTTTTTCTCTTGAGTGTACACACATACACCTAGCACATCTGGAAAATATTTGTCTCTATCCCATTGTTTCAACTTAATATATTGTGAGCTTTTGTTGTCCACGTGTATACAGCCTCATGTATAATCCTGGACCATTCTGAATGCCCCCAGGGTCTCAGAAAGTGGAGATGAAACTCATTTCTGGCATTTAGAGACTCAGGTTTCCAGAGTAGGAGTGGCTGCGACCCGCAGTATCTGTGCCTAACGGATGTGTTTTATTGGTGAGATGGTGTGAAATGAAAGTGGACCCCTATCCTGTCAGGGTCCAGTACCAGCTGGGCACCAGCTTGCTCTGTGTCTCACATTTTTCGTCTGCAGAATGAGGTGTTTGGGCTGGAGGAAGGGGGACCCATCCGCCCTGCAGACCCTCCGCCCTCAGGCTTCTGTTCCTTTGCTTATCCTAGGTCACGAGGCTTTCTAACTTCTACTTGTAAATGGGATTTTACATCTGGTGTTCAATTTTGGCTTTAAAATTAAATTCATCGGTTTCCCCGGCTTTGCACTACATTATAGCTTTCCAGAAAGAAAATTGAGATTATAATTACATTTAAAATAAAGTTATTGCTAAAGGATTTTTGTTTCCACTTTCCTTTTTTCACATTTAGAGGTAACCCAGAAGCACAGTCTTCTATTTCTTAATCATTTGTTTTTCATATCTTAAGCCTGTGTGTTTGCACCAGTGACCCGGGGAGTTAGGATGCAGTGTATGTTACAGTGTGTGTTATAGTGTGTGTTACAGTGTGTGGTATAGTGTGTGTTAACAGTGTGTTATAGTGTGTGTTACAGTGTGTGCTACAGCGTGTGTTACAGTGTGTTAGTGTGTTATAGTGTGTGTTACAGTGTGTGTTATAGTGTGTTACAGCGTGTTAGTGTATGTTAGTGTGTTACAGTGTATGTTAGTGTGTTATAGTGTGTTACAGTGTATTACGGT